CACATTCCAGAAGGGTGGTACCAGAACACCCCATATCAAGTAAGTTACAAACGCATGCCCCAAAGGTAAAAGGAACATGTTGTCTCCTCCTAGAGATAAGGTCAGGATGACACTGATGGAAACCAGCAGGTATGATTGAACCAGCACGTACAAGGTAAAGGGTGGTGAGGAAGTAGATCAAGAGAATTTGAATGCAGGCCTCTATATTGAGCAGGAGTCGGGCTAACTCTATCTTTAATAACGTGAGATTTTTAGAAGCAGAGATAGTGCAAAGCGAGTGGGAAAAGAATTGTGAGAGAGGCTGTTGTGACCTTGTATTAGATAAGAATAGAATGTAGATGATAAGAGAAATGGTAAGAAAAATAAGATATCATGCAGGAATATGTATAAACAATATGCAGCTGTTGATTACTGTCTGTAATAAAGATATAAATACTTGCTCCAATTGTTTATCTTTGAGAGACCTGCCGAGGTGGGGGGAACCCTGTGTCCTAGGGCACTCTGTCCCTCTGTGCAATTGCTTGAGACAGTAAAGTGTATCTGACCTGCTGCACCCAACCTGAGAGTGAGAACTGTGTTTTCCTCTGACAGTGGTAACTAACCAGGTCAGAGGGGCAATACGTAACATGTTTGTGTGGGTGTATAAAGAAGGGTCTCAGAGGGCATGTCTTTGTCTGGCCCAGGAGGGAACAGAAAGTCATAAGAACGGCCATACGGGATCAGACCAATGGTCCATCTAGCCCACTGTCCTGTCTTCCAACAGTGACCAATGCCAGGTGCCCCAGAGGGAATGAACAGAACAGGGAATCATCAAGTGATCCATCCCCTGTCACCCATTCCCAGCTTCTGGCAAACAGAGGCTAGGGGCACCATCCCTGCCCATCCCTGGCTCGTAGCCATTGATAGACCTATACTCCATGAACTTATCTAGTTTTTTTTTAATCAACATATTCTGGCAATGAGTTCCACAGGTGGACTGTGCGTTGTGTGAAAAAATGCTTCCTTTGTTTGTTTTAAATCTGCTGCCTATTAAAGTCCTGCCATTCACTGAGCCGGTCCGTTGTTACAGGCATACATGTGCTAGCGTAACCGTAGACATTGATCTGGGGAGCTAGGACCATGCTCTGTCAACAATAAACCTGGCTAGGTGCCTTTGCTACTGAAATGGGGCTGGGGTTTGTATTGGGCAATTCAATTGAAGTCTGCTGTGTCTCCTAGCTGCACAGAGCTGGGACAGCACACTGAAACAACACACACAGCCAACCCTACCATAAGTGGGTAAAGCCCACTTTGATCACAGCAACCAACAGCATGTGCTTTATGGTAGCTCCTCTCAGAAAGAGTCCCTGACCCTTACTTTGCTGCCTAAAGAGGAGCCAAGTTCTTTTGAAAAATCAATTGCAGGGGTTGAGATTTTAAAGTCTAGCTGGCCCCAGGTGGGTGATGAATTTTCAGAGTAGCTCTTCTTGATAAAGCTTTTAGCTTTGCAACATGTAGACCTTTGGCTGAGCCATGGACAATGAAAGCCTTACATAATGTTTCTGTATGCTCAGAAATGGAATGATCTTATGTAGTAGGGGACAGTGATGGACAAATATCTGCTCTCCTACACAGTGTTTCCTTTGGCAAAAAGGAACTGGAAGAAAAGCTGAGGTGGTCACTGCAGACTGCATCTGCCGACACAATTGTCAGCACCGGAGAGGGATGGGCTACAAACTACAGTTCAATACTCTATTTGCAGCATGGGAAGGAGGTGGGCTAAGTGAGCACAACTCAGTTTGAACATTTCACCTGTTGTGATCACTAAATGGAATAGGTTGGGAAGCACATAGGGAGTCTATTCCAGGTGAGGGAAGCATAGATTTAGCAGAGGCTACTGGTGCTTGCCCTGAAGGGAGCATGCCTGGGGCTGGCCTTGTAAAGACAAGGACAAGGGGGGCTAATTCATCCCCATGCTAGATACTGCTTTTGTGTTTTGGGTCCAGCTGCAACTTGTTCAGCCTCAGTGCAGGTTAGAGCAGCCTTCTGGCTACCCTACCTTGTGCAGGGCTGTGTTTGTGACCAAGAAGCTGGGAATAAGCAAAGTGCAGCACAGGTCCACCCACATGTCCATGCCCCGGAAATGCCCCCAGGACACACACTACTGGAAACCCCTGCAGGGCTGCATCAGAGCCATCAGATCCATGGACTGTCTGGCTGAGAAGCAGAGAGATGAACAGGGCTCCGCCCCATAATTCCAGCCTCTACATCACTATGTGGCTCTGGCTCTAGGGTAGGTTGACTAGATGTCCCGGTTTTATAGGGACAGTCCTGATTGAGGAGGCTCTCTTATATAGGCTCCTATTACCCCCAACCCTCTCCTGATTTTTCACATTTGCTGTCTGGTCTCCCTACTCTGGGGGCAGTAACTGAGCCCTTAGGTTTCACAGCTGAGATTGGGCAATAAGTGCAGATTGAAACAAAGAATGAGTAACTGACATGAATATGACGACCAAGCACCAACATCCTCAAAGTTTTATATCAGGGCAATAAAAGGCTCTTTGATTAGTCAGTGATGACACAGGAGGAAGATAAGTGCAACAAAGGGTGGAATCGCAACGAAATGTGCTATTGATTGAATAATAGAAAATGCTGCTAAATCTCTTGGTCAATCTTTAAGAATTAAGCTTCATTCACTACAATATACTGTAGTGAGCAAGATGCTAAAAGGGCTCTGTTTTTCCCAGGAATCTGATTTTTAGCAAGTCATTTTGCTCCTTCGAGGAGTTCTTCTTGAATAGGGGGAGCAGTTCTAGAAAAGCTCCACAGCACGCTGGAAGGACCTTACACTCGCAGGAGCCAGGAGCCATAGTCCCGTTTGACCCAAGGGAACAGGTCCATGAGCAACGGAACAGGCCGAGTAAGTCGTCATATCCCATTCATCCCCTGCAGTGAGTACAGGCTTGTTTTAGCAAATCCTCAAGTGTCCTGCTCTTATACATACAAAGCTGGGTCATGCACTTGTTATGTAAACATTAGCAGAACTCTATGCTGCGGTAAAAAGTCAAAATCAAGGGGTCCCTGAATTGAAAAAGTAATTTGTGGGGTGGTTCTTCCCACCACCTCTAGATTTCTCCACTTCTGGTGAAGATGCTCCGGCCCTGGAACTATTTCACAGGTAACAAAGGGACAAGGCCAGACTGCAGAAACAGGCCCTCTGCTACCAGCCTGACACATACTCACACAGAGCTCTACGTATGTAAGTGCACCAATAACCAAAACTTCTGTTAGCCCAACAGATCAGGACAACAGTCTTATCTCCACCAGACTGTGATTATACAGGCTTCGAGGGCAAGTTTGTAAGATTATGAATGCACTTCCATAGCACACACAGTATACTTCCAAACTCATTTCAGATGCTAATTAGACATAAAACCAAGAACTGGGACCCAATCCTGCTGCCCTTAGTCACATGAATCATCCTAGGGACTTCTATAAATGACAGCTTTTGTGAGGAAGGGCTGCAGGATTGGGCCTTTGGAAGAGAAATCTAAGGAATAGTAGAGCCATTAATTAGATCATGACAAATTCCCATGAAGGGGCAGATGCTGAGAGGTGATCAGCAGCTGCATTTTCCATAGATAGCTATGGGAGTTGTGGTACTCAGATTTTTAAGGTGGTGGTGGGGATAGGGAGCCCCCCCCCCAAAAATTTGCATGTACCAGCATATGCTGCTAGAATTCAAAGGCTCACCAATGGCATGTGAATTTGTTCTGATTTTTTTTTCAGAAGTAAGCGTCCATATCATTACTCTCCCAGTGAAAAGGAAAACCCAGAGGCCTCTAAAGTAGGCACAGACTGACAATTACCAACCACCTACCAGAATATGTAGTTGGTGAGAATGATCACTGGCCCTGAACCACTTCCACAGTTTTGATAGCTGCCTTTAGTCTCCCCCTTCCCAGGAAGGGCTCGGTTTTGTTCCTCTGACCAGAGTGGAGTGAAGTATTTATTACTCAATATGAGTAAGGGTGACAGGATAGTGGGGTAGGTACTGCACAAAATGATTGTTGAAGAGTGGCCTCTAGTGGTAGATGGGCACACAGTAAAGATCACATTGCCTACCTCCATCCAGGATAGCACGGGAAAGCAGTCGTGATGAGAAGTAAGAGGCTGTGGGTCAAATTCAACTCAGACTCTCTGCAAGTAGAGAGACTGCCTTGGCATGTGTGTTGCAGTGTGATGCTGCAGAGTACAGGGGAGACAAGCAGCCCGAACCGCCCAAAGCAGCCAGAGACGCAGCTTGGATGCGCTGAGTCAGCGTAACTTCTGGGCTGAGCACCTAAGGATCCTCAAGCCGGATTGAAATTGCTCCCTGACGCCACGAGCTCTCCCCACAGCAAGTCACCCCCTGGCCCGCTCTGCACACAGTAGTCCTCACAGGTCTGAGGAGACAAGCTTTCCCCATCTGCAAAGGCTGAGTCTGCATGGTATGTCTCTGCTGCCATTCTTTTCCCATAGCTGCTCCTGGCTTTACACAGCTAAGGTTTCTCACTGGAGGAGACAGCAGCACTGGTACATTTGGCATAGGGACAATCACAAGTGACGTTATTCTCAGAGCAGCCCTATGCTAACCCTTCCCGAGCAAAGCCTCCTCTGCAGTAATGATTTCTGAGACAGAGGCATTTACCAGCCATCTTTCCTACTTACCCTATTGCCCAAATTAATCCCTGCTGTTACCCCAGGAATGTAGCTGAATCAGTGATTTCTTGGGGTCCATCAACAGTGGTTAAAGAGCTAGAAACTGGCGTGTCCCCCTTATTCCACAGGACAAGCTTCCCTTCCACTACTTTGCTAGTTTGATTCAACCCTGACCACTCTAGGTGCGAGGGGAAAGGTCAGACGGCTCACTGGGCTGGAGGAGGAGCAGGAATTAGTTCAGTGAAATGATCCTTTAAACACCCTGGGCATCTGCCTGCCTTACAGCCAAAGGGACAAAGTTATAAAAACAGACAACTGGCAGTTGTTACAATTGCATTTTATTATAGCCCTGCAGGGCAGAAATTACTACTTGATCACAAAGGCATAGGTCAGAGAACACCCCTATCATTTACTGAGGGAAATGGCTCAGATGGTTGCTTCTCTACAATTTAGATTGCTATCTACTCCTGATGCGTGTGCAGCTGAGGACAGCTATTAAGTGCCTTGGGGGATAGCAGATTTCAAAAACGGCTTTCTTCAGTTTGACAAGGCTGAGTGTCCTTAAAAGGAAGCATCCTGCTGACTTCATAATTGAGCAGACAAGGCGGCCTAGAGGGTTTTTTCAGCCGCTACACATTTTAGAGTGGTGCAGGAATTTATCATCGTCACCACTGCTCTGAATGTGTGGGGAAATTGGGCAGTTAAATACCGATTCAACGCTTCGAGTGGGTGTTTTGGTGCATTAAAGTTAAATGTAAGCAGCAATTATGGGATGTCTACAAAGCCGAGGTTAGACTTGAGTTTCCTTTTGCATGATATGTAAAGCTTGTTATCAACTGGTAATTTGCTTCCATGCTACTTGGTCAACTTACCTAAGGAAAACCAAATCTCACTCTTTCCTTCACTATAACCCCTAAAACCTATATGAGGGCCTGAAATCCCTCGTTTATCAAGTGGAAACTCAAATTTGTGAAATTCAAGGGGAAAACAAAAAAATCCTAAGAACTGCACCCAGGAAGGAAATCGGATCCCCTGTTTACCGCCTATTCTGAGTTATTAGCTCTATTAGCAAGTTCTATGAAATCAGTAAGTCATCCTGGATGTAGTGTAATTATATAAACTGCATCCAAAGGGGAGAGAGAGTATCACAATATGGATCACAGGTCTCAGCTATTCATTGTGACTTTAACTCCAGCTCCAGCTTCTTAATCTCCAGATACAGCTTCTGCACTTCCAGCTGAGTTCTCAGTCTCTCCAGAGACACCCCACACTCATTGACCTCTTTTACAGAAGCCATCTCACACACATCAGAAGTGCTTTGCTTTTTCTGTAAAACAGAGGGAACATGCTTATGCTACAGCAGAGAAGGACTCACCCTCTCAAGTATGCTTGCTCCTTTTTGAGTCTGAACCATCATCCAGTGTGTTACATGCATCTGCCTCAGGGCCTGAGCATGCTGCTGTGCACCCTCACATCTAGTCAGTTCTACAGAAACTGACTGTGCTAAGCAACAGTGATGAGGTTTCGAGCAACCTAAGGTTTGGCACAGATTATAAACCCATTGGGCAGGAACCAGCCCTCCTTTTACAAAGAGCTGAGCACACTAATCTCTCACTAATTAGTAACACTTGAATTGCCTAGAAAACCTGACTTTTGTAATAGGGAAGTTTTCCTCCTGTTGTGATTTTTACCCACCAAATTTTATTTTGCATGGAGCAGCTGCTATAAAAGGAAGAAAGCTTCTCTAAAAATAGGAGATGGGTGTAGCGAGGGATGATGTGTTTTGTTTTCAGATAATTTTTTTTTTTGCCATATGGTGTATCAATGGCACATGTCCCCACCCGATTGCAAAGACCTCATGAAGTTAAGTCTTTGCTTCATTAAATCAATGCATGGTTACTACTATTCTTTAGATTAGAAATTGGGCAGGGTGCATCAAGAAACCCAACTGGGCAGTGATACTTACACACACCGGTAATGCCGTCCAGTTACCGTCTGCTAAACAAGTAATACTACATCTGTCTGTTGCAGGCAGCTGGGAATGGCTTGAAAACTGGTACCCAGGAGAACATTTGAAAGGAAGGGTTTCATTCACATGGTACCACATTTTTTCATCCAGTGCATTGACCATGCTTCCAGTTTGCACCTCTGGCTTCTGACACCCAGCTGCAAAGAAAACGCAGAAGAGAAGGTAGTTCATTGAGAGGAGCAGATGCACTGTGAATGCTGGTTGTTGCTCGAAATGGAAGAGAAAATAAACTGTGGGTAAAGGGTCTTGAGTGTATTTCACTGGAGTTCTGGTTTATAAACAACCCATGAAACCAGCTACCCCGTTGACACTCACTCTATAGAGAGAAAGAGGGTCCATGATTGAGCATGGAGCCAACCATGAAGTGAATTGGAACAGGTGTTCAGCACCTTTCAGGATTGAGCTCAGTGACTATCAAGCCATCCAATCAACACCTACAATGAGGCTTTCGATTCCAGTCCCACCATTCTACCAAACCAAGACCTAAAGAAAAGCATGAGTTAAACACAGAAATCCCATCCAGTATTTCATACGACTGGCATTTCATGGAGGTGTCAAGCTGGGGCAGCAGAGCACAGGTGCTTTTTGGGGATAGTTAACATGCAGTTTGTTCCTGTGCACACTTGTGGTAAAAACCTCTTCACTTTATTGCACTCAGACTCCTCTGCAGCAAGGGACAAGTGCTCGGAAGTCAATGGAGTCACCTGGGATTTTCACTGGTGGAATGAAGAGCAGAACGTGCTCCTTAACAGTGTCTTACACTCTTATAGGGACTTTCACCTTGAAGGATCCCAGAGGACTTTTCTAGATACTACATGGATTTGTACATAAAAGGAACCCCTTCCCCACTGAAATGCAGCCTCTTCTAGGGCAGGGCACAGTCTCCAAGCAGACAGAGGTTCATGTTAAGTCTGAGACAAGGAACAACCAAAACTAGTGCACTTATGGCAGCTGACCTATTTCCAGGCAATTCACTGAAAACCATGCCACATAGAAACAGATCATTTCCTTTAAAAAAAAATTCTAGGCAGAGGTTAAGCTTTAGTCTCCAGGGGCAGCTGCAGCCAAGAGTTTCTTCCTGCACTAGATTTGCAATGACTTTGGGACTGACAATATCCTGAACAAACCATATGGAATTAAGATTTACTTAATCTTATGAACTTTAATCTTATTGAATTAGGGTTAATACCTTTGGGATCCACAAAATACAACAGAAGCAAAGGAATTCAAAGTTAAGGACAAAACAGCATCTGGGGTGCCCTATTTTATCCAGATGAGCTTTTTTCTTAAAGCTGAATATCCTTTTGGTATGGTTTTACAGAAGCTACAAAAAATAGTGACATTTACACCAAGGGGGCTCTCCACTCCAAATTCCATTTTGCTCTGTGTCAGATATGACGACGACTAGATGCCTCTCCAATATGTGAGAAAGTCTGTGCCTCTTGGTACAGTATTACAGCTGTAAATTACTGTTGATCCATAGGTGTAATGATTATTACGGTCACTGGAATACCTCGGTCATAAATATAAAGGGAAGGCTAATAACCCTTATGTATGCAGTAACAAAATCCCTCCTGGCCAGAGGTACAGAATCCCCGTACCTGTAAGGGGTTAATCAGTTCAATTAACCGAGTTGGCACCTGACCAGAAGGACCAATGGGAAAAGATGATACTTTCAAATCTGGGGGGAGGTTTTGTTTGTGCTCTTTATCTGTTCCCCTCTCCGGCAGAGAGGGTCCGAGCAGGAAAAAACATCTCCTAGAAACATACCTGAAGTGAGCATCTAAAATTACAAAAATTGTAAGCAAGGCATGGAAATGCGTGAGATTATCTTTTGTTTTAGCTTGTGAATTTTCCATATGCTAAGAGGTAATTTCATTATGTTTTGTAACAGGAAAGCAGAGTCAGAGGGCAATCCTCTGTGTTTTATATCTTTTTATCTACCCTGTAAAGTTATCTTCCATCCTGATTTTGCAGGTGTGATTTTTATTTTATTTTTTAAATAAAATTCTTTTTAAAAACCAGATTGATTCAGTGTCCTAAAAACTAGGAGTTTGGTCTGTGCTCACATGGTAACCAATTGCTTAGTATATTATTCTCAAGCCTCCCCAGGAAAGGGGGTGAAGGAGCTTGGGGGGGGGGATAGATCTCCAAGTTGCCCCTCCCTGAATGTTTGTTTAAATCACTTGGTGGTGGCAGCAATACTGTCCAAGGACAAGGAAAGGAATTTGTGCCTTGGGGAAGTTTTTAACCTAAGCTGGTGGAATATAAGCTTGGGGAGGGGTCTTTCATACTGGTCCCCACATCTGTACCCCGAGTTCAGATTGGGGAGGGATCCCTGAAAACCTCCCACTCTTGATTTCTGGAGGCGGACGACATGGAATTTCTAGAATATATTACAAGTTAAGAAAAAAGCATTTAACGGAAGGGAGAAAAACTGCCATAGCAACAAGCAGCATTTGATAATGGGGGTTTGTGGTTAAAACAAGTGCAAAACCACCACCAAAAACCGTCAGAAAAGGAGAAAATGGAGGAGCTGTAAATATGTACAGTTATGTTAGCAGCATAATGGGGAAAGGAAATGCTAAGGTAGTAGATGAACAGGAAAAAAGCTCTGAAAAACCTGAAAAAAAAAAGGTCAATGCATTTGCACTGGAAATCAGGGACTTGTTTTCTTAGTGCCTTCTGAAGGAAAAGTTATCAGTAAGATGTTATCATTCATATTCAATTGGAAAACCTGAGTTTATTTTGATAAAACTTTATTACATAGGAAACTAGAAGTAAAAATGTAAATGTTATGGACATTAAAGGAAACGTTAGCAGAACACAACTTTTGCTAGAAATGCAGTTAGCCTCTATGCTTAATTAATCCTGGTATATGGTGAAGTTACATTGGAATCCTTTTCCTTATAATTACTCAAAAATAATTAAAAGAACAAGCCCCCGATGTATGCAGAAATCTAAAGCTTATTGTCTAGAATGAAATAATCTGACTAGCCTTCCATTAAAAATTTATCTGAGAACAATTTCCATAATAGCAGCAAAGATATTTTCCATTAAATGCCTTGTACATTTATGGCACTGGATGAATAAAATGTCCTAAGAGTCTGAAAAAAGCAAGCATCGTTTAGCTCTCACATACAAACAATAAATCTGAACCCGAACACAGCAAAACAAGTTGAATTCATAAAATTTTCTACAAATAAGTCATGGAAAAAAGCCTACTGTGATACAAAGGAAGTAACAGGATTATACATGAAAACCTATCCTGTTCACCTAAAATCAGTCAAACTCAAATCAGTTTTAAAACCATTTTCTTCAATATAATTTAGACAGAAAGAATTTGACACTGCCATAAATTCCATGTTGACTATTAATCACAAGGTGACAGTTGTGTTAATAGTTATTCAACAGGTAAAGTTTATTCCTGATTTTCAATAAGTGAATTTGACCCATATGAGCTAGCTACCAGTAAGCTTTGGGGATTTTCAACAGTCTTCCTCACACTGGTACCTCCATTAGCTTTTAAAATGGTGAAACAAACACAAGACTGAACATTTTAACAATACTTATTTTCTGTACTAGTGAATTCATTTTACAGCACAATTTGCCTAAACTACTCACATGAACTGGCAATACCAGAACAGAATCATAAATGTATAAAATCCACTTACCTTCACAAAATGGAAGTTTATGATTCCATGTGACCCTTGTTCCATCAATCACACACTGACTAGTATCATGTCCAACTAATCTGAACCTAAACAAGAACATTTTTTAAAAGGCAAAATTTCTTAACAAATTACTCAACTTCTAAACCATCAGCTCAGATATTTGCAGTATACTTCTGTTCTGCCAGCAGGTGGTGACACTGAATTTCAGGTGATTCCATTCTCATTATAAAACAAGAGTTCTTGTTTTGCTAAGTATTCTGATCAAAGCCAGAAAATAGGAAGTGAGAAAAGTGAATCCAGCTAACAGAAGGATTGACATCTGAGTTTTACATATTAGAGGTACCCAGTTCACCACTACTGATTCTCTGAAAATTACCAAAGCAATGCCAAAGATACTGTAGGAAGAGGAAAATAATTGGCTACCAAATTCAGAACTAACACTCAGTGTAAGAGCTCAGTGCATTCTGTTTTTCTTTGTTTGATGCTTGACCCTATATCCCAAACATCTAGAAAGAGGCAGATGAAGTTATTAATACAAATAACAAAATTCTGCCCTATGTATTTAATTATACCATTATAAATTTCAGAGTAGCAGCCATGTTCGTCTGTATCTGTAAAAAGAAAGGAGTACTTGTGGCACCTTAGAGACTAACACATTTATTTGAGCATGAGCTTTCATGAGCTACAGCTCATTTCATCAGATGCATACAGTGGAAAATACAGTGCGGAGATTTATATACATAGAGAACACGAAACAATGGGTGTTACCATACAGACTGTAACAAGAGTGATTAGGAAAGGTGAGCAGGAGAGTTGGGGGAGGAGAAGAGAGAAGAGAACCTTTAGTACTGATAATCAAGGTGGGCCATTTCCAGCAGTTTACAAGAACAAGGGGAAATGGTTTTACTTTGTGTAATGACCCATCCACTCCCAGTCTTTATTCAAGCATAAGTTAATTGTATCTAGTTTGCAAATTAATTCCAATTCAGCAGTCTCTTGTTAGAGTCAGTTTTTGAAGTTTGTTTGTGCCAGCAATGCCCCTCTGCCATGTACATTGGCCAGACTGGACAGTCTCTATGTAAAAGAACAAATGGACACAAATCAGACGTCAAGAATTATAACATTCAAATACCAGTCGGAGAACACTTCAATCTCTGGTCACTCGATTACAGACCTAAAAGTGGCAATTCAACAAAAAAACTTCAAAAACAGACTCCAAGGAGAGACTGCTGAATTGGAATTAATTTGCAAACTGGATACAATTAACTTAGGCTTGAATGAAGACTGGAAGCGGATGGGTCATTACACAAAGTAAAACGATTTCCCCTTGTTTGTTTCCCCTCCTACTGTTCTTGTCAACTGCTGGAAATGGCCCACTTTGATCACTACAAAAGGTTCCTTCCCCGCCCGCCCCCACCGCTCTCCTGCGGATAATAGCTCACCTTACCTGATCACTCTCCTTACAGTCTGTATGCCAACACCCATTGTTTCATGTTCTCTGTGTATATAAAGTCTCCTCACTATATTTTCCACTGCATGCATCCGATGAAGTGAGCTGTAGCTCACGAAAGCTTATGCTCAAATAAATTGGTTAGTCTCTAAGGTGCCACAAGTCCTCCTTTTCTTTTTACAATTATAGATGTGTAACAAAATATAAACACCAAAAATAATCTTTGAGAAATGTTTATAAATGCAAACAGCTTTTTGGGGGGACCTATTTAAAAAAAGCCATTCCAAGATTTGAAAGCAAATCTTTTCATATTTGAATCCAAGGTACTAAAAAGGGTAGGTTCACACAGTGGAAACTCTGACCCAACCTTCTTTGCATTGAACATGCAGAACAGCTAAAAAGTTACAGCTATTTCAGGAACTTCGTACTCCAGAATGCCCCGCTGAAGGTTTGTCATAATTTGCTATCTCGTCAGTACAAAGGGTCTACAACAGAGGAAGGAGAAAAGTTTAAAAAAAAAAAATCTCACTTTGACATCCTTACCCTTTGTCACAAGAAAATGTAATGTTTGAACCAAACAGGAGATCTGTGATATGAATCTTGCCATTAGCTAGGTCTCCTGGATGTCCACATGATTTTCCTAAAGAGAGGATATAACGGGAATTAGATTTTTTTTTGGTATGTTCTGTTAGAAAAAAAAGATAACTAAAGGGAAATAATAAGTAACCCACATTTTGGCATATGACTAATGTAAAGCTAAGTGTTACATTAATTTAAAAAGCCTAAGACAAGACAAAGGCCCTCAAATGTGATGAATTTACATATTGTTGCGTTATGAGTGGAATGGATAGGACCCGTGCCCTTCTAGTGACATATCCCTATTGGTTATAAGCTATCACATTGCCAAGCTACAAATTACTAGGAACCCAAATCAAGTGAATTATACAGAAGATAATACAACAAGATGCCAAAAATTGTGGCCGACTTGAAGAGCCCTATCCTGCAAGATGCACTTTTACTTTCCAGAAGGATGTGAGAGCTGAAGAATTATACCCAACGTTTCCTTTCTCAAGGAAAGCATAACCCTCCACACAGCACTCCCAGCCCACAGAGAAAGAAAAACAATTTAAGTGATATCACCGTCACAGCAATGCAAATCAGTATCACTAAGTCATGGGCTTGGCACGCTTTTGTCAATAACGACATGCAATGTCTGCATTAGTCTCGTCTCCATGTGCAGTCCTGGCCCTATTGAAAGGAAGTGTTGCCACTGACTTCAAGTAGGCCAGAATTTCATCTTCTGTGTTAGAGTTTTACATTTGAATCTTTATGAGAGCTTTATGCTCCACCTAAAAAATCCAAACAATTCTGTCTGAAAAACAGTGTCCCTTTCAAGCTCCAAATCAAATGTTACAAAATCCTCATTCCAGTCCAGAAGAGCCTTTAACCTGTTAGTGTTTTCTGAACTCTAGAGTGTGTGGAAGGGTTGCAGAGGGAAGAGAGGAGAAAAACCTTACTTCGACAAAACTCTTCGGGTTCTGACCACACCAATTGTCTTTTGCAAAGAAGAGTGGACTGTGCTTTATAGACTTTTTGGTAACCTGGGTGGCAGTTATAGCTCACTGTGCTCTCAGATGGAAAGTATGTCCATGTCTTAAACTCATCCAGCAGCTCAGCAAAGCTTAGCGTTGGTGGGGCACCACAACTACCTATGGGAAAAAAAAGAAACATTTTAACTTTGGGGAAAAACCCCTAAACTCTTTAGTTTATATTTGTTTGTAACTAAGCCTTAATTGACACAAAGGCTGGGATTTTCAAAAGAACCTAGGAAAGTTTCAATGGGTTTTGGGCATAAAACTTCCTTAGGCCCTTTTGAAATCCCAGCTTGAGATCTTAAAACAAGGAGTACAAAGAGCAGCTTGCACTACCAATCTGTGAGGCACAAGGTAAGAAAAACATAAAATACTGTGTGTTTAGATACTTATTTTAAAAGAAAATCCTAAATCCACAGAACAAGCGTGACTAGTTAAGCAGTGGTAAGATCATAGAATATCAGGGTTGGAAGGGACCTCAGGAGGTCATTCTAGTCCAACCCCCTGCTCAAAGCAGGACCTATCCCCAATTTTTGGCCCAGATCCCTAAATAGTCCCCTCAAGGATTGAACTCACAACCCTGGGTTTAGCAGGCCAATGCTCAAACCACTGAGCTATCCGTCCCCCCAGACTTGAGCAGAACTGCTGTGTAACCATCTAGACAATTTGACAAGGGCACTTTGAAATTATCTCAGAGCTCCAGTTAGCTTAATCAAATATCCATTGGACCCTGTAAATTAAAAAAAAAAGAGCAAAAGTGGAGAGGAGGAAGAAACAGGAATGGAAGAATAGAAATATAGATACCTATTTTCCACCTGAAGAGGAAACTGGCATCAAATAAACTGAAAATCTGCAAGCGGACTCTGGGATGGCTGTCAGCACAACAAACTAGGAATGTAACACCCTAACCCTTGTTGGACTAGATGACCTCCCCAGGTCTCTTCCAACCCTAATCTTCTATGAAAAGATAGAGACTGTTTAACAGACTTCTAGGAATTCGGCAATCCCTGTAATCTATTTCCTTGGGGGCAAGGTGGACGCACTGTTCCCATCACCGCTCTGACGCTGGTTTGCTGGAGGGGTTGGTCACTTTTACACCCCCGGCAGGAGCGTGCACCGCAGTGCAAGCCCCCGGGCAGAGGGTGTACGGCCCGGTCGTTACGACCCCTGGCCCGTTACGGTCCATCCCGCTCGAACGATCACCGCCCGCCACCAGCCGGTTCTCCTCCCGCCCCAAGTCACGGTTTCGGGGGGCGGGACCAGCCTGGCGCGGGACAGGCAAGGCTCGGAAACCAGCGAGCACTGGGGGAGGCGAGCCCCGCCGCGACTCACTGCGAGCCCCGGCCAGGGGCAGCAGGAGCATCAGCAGCGCCAGGAGCCCCCGGGCGCCGGGCCGGCAGCGCGGAGCCGAGACCATGGCAGCTTCGGGGCACTCGCGGGGCGAGGGCTGCGGAGCGTCTGCAGCAGCCCCGGCTCCGGGCTAAGGGGGCGGAGCCATGCGGGAAAGGGGCGGAGCTTCCGCCGGGCGGGGCGGGGCTGGTGTCACTGCTGGGCACCCACGTGCTGTCCGGGCAGCAGGTGCGGGGGTCGGCCTGCGCTTGGCCGGGGTCACGGGTTCGCCCCCGGGGTCCTCGCCCTGCCTGCGGCGTGGGAGCTCGCACAATCCCCGCCACCCCCGGGCTCGGAGCAGCTGCGGGGCGTGTGCGCATCGCGGGGAGTGTCAGTGAGGTGCCCAGCCGGCCGCGGGTTTCCCGCCCCTCCGTGCCCCCCCGCGGAGCGCAGCAGCCCCCCAGTCTCCGCAGCCGGGGGGTCTCCCTGCCGCCCCCACGCGGGGCCTCGCCCTGCAAAGACAAACCTCTGTCGGGGCTGGTTCCAGCCTCTCTCCACCCCGACCCAGTGCCGCTGCCCGCGACCCGTGTTCGAGCCAAGGGAGCGTCCTAAGGGGAGTAGGAATAAAGCCGCTTGGGGTGGGGCGGGTTGCGTTCCAGCAGGGAGCAGCACAACCGAGTGGGATCCGGGTCTTTCCTGTAGTCACTTGCGGGATCCAGCGCTAGACAAACATTCTCGGATCAGTTCAGTGGAAGGAAGTGGTTACCTAGGGATGTAAAAAACACCCCCCTCCCCCTCGCTCTTGGGTTCTGGGGAATTCAACCTGCAGGTTATGCAGGCCTGAGCTCAGGGGAGAGGAGAGGGGGGTCTGACTTGGCTCTAGCAAACCATCTGAGCCCTGATGTGTTCCCCCCAGAATGGCATCAACTTTTCTGGGGTGAAAGTAGTGTTACCAATCCTTCGCCCAGTCCATCATATCTTGTTTTGAAGAAGCTGCTTCTGCATCACTGCAAACTGTTGGCACCCACAGGGAAACTCTTGCAGTGGCTAAACCTGTTGGCCACCACCAATGGCAACCTAATAATTTAGTTGGAAGATCATCAGACTGTTGGGGTTACTCAGGGGACTGCAAAAGGGTGCCAGGAGGGACTATGACAGCATATCACCACTAGTGAGGCCTCTTTCAAGCCGTCGCCGGTATTAGCTGTGGCCAGGTATTGCACCCTCCTATAGCGGGAGCTTTTTCCTCATCCTCTCACTCCGGGGACCTTTCCACTCCAGGCACCCCAACCTCCTCTTCATGACTGAGCTTTCTGACCAAGTCACCATGTGTTCCCCCCCCTTCTGAGCTGGCAAACTCCCTCATGAGAGATGGTCTCAGGCAGTCTGACCACTCACTGCCCGGCTGGTACCACTTCCTCAGGAGCTAGTAGGGGGGCCTAGGCCCACCCTCCACTCCAGGGCCTGGCTCAGGGGCCCGCTCATCAGCGGCCAATGTTTGACCTACTCCATACCTTGTTGGTTTTCCGCTGGACCTTACTTGTCTCCCCCCCCTTCTCTGGGCTCACCAAGCCACACATCCTTCTCCCCCAGAATAACCATAACCTATTAGCATCTAGTTCCTCAAGACACCCTCCTTCCAACCCCTTCTGTTGCTAGCTTCCTGGTTTATATGGACCCAGGCTGTTCCTACACAGTTGAGCTTGATCTACTTAAATCCCAGTCTCCTCCAGGTGCAGACTGGGCAGTTAACTGGCCCAATTAGCCATATTAACCCCTCCAGGCCTTCTGTGAGGGTGACCACAGCTGAAAATATTTACTGAAATGACTACTTTCCCTTTTGTTTCTGGGGAATCCAACAGTCAGTTGACACCAGTAATGAGCCCCTGGGAGAAGAGAGGGGCATGAGTGATAGTTAACAAAGAAGTTGAATACAAGTGTGTTTTCCTCTGCGTGTTTTCCCCAGGCTCTGGGTATCCTTCCCAGGGTAAAGCAGGCCCTTAACCCACCCACCTATTCCTCATCCCAAACAATGGGCCAATACCTGAAATCATTCCTCAATCCTCAAATTAAGCAAGAGTTGTTGACTTTGATGGCTGTTTACTTAGTACATATTCAGTCCTTATTTAAAGACTGCATGATTCACCCCGAAGATCTTTACCTATTTTTCCATTTTTAATGACTCTGTGCAAAATAAATATAAACGTTGTCACGAAAAGTGAAGACAATGGTATAACAACCAAACAGACTAGGTGCTTGACAGAAGACTGAGGCCTGGTCTACACTACAAAGTTAGGTCAACATAGGCCATGTTAGGTCGATTCAATAATGAGTCTACACTACCGAGTTCCTTTTGCTGACCTAAGTGACCTGTAACGTCGACTTCGGTACTCCACCTCTGTGAGAGGCATTGCGCTTGATTAGACATCCACGCGTCTACATGGGGATAATTTAAACACTGCGTTTTGTAATTCAAATGAATTGGCCTCCAGGAGGTGTCCCACAGTGCTCCGCTGTGACCGCTCTGGAGAGTACTTTCACTCCACTGCACGTCAGCCAGGTACACAGGAAACAGCCACTTCCCCGTTAAAGCCCCGGGAACTTTAGAATTTTCATTTTCTGTTTGATCAGCGTGGAGAGCTCACCATCACAGCTGATCGTGGAGACTCAAGGCCACAAACACGCTCCAGCATGGAGTACACAGGAGATGCTGGATCTTATTGTTGTGTGGGGAGAAGACATAGGCGCCGGCTTCCTTTGGGCCTGGTGGGTGCTCAACTCCCTGCTCTGCCCCGGGCCCTGCCCCTGGCCCTTCCCCCGTCTGTCCCCTTCCCCCAAGCCCTCACCCCTGTCCTGCCTCTTCCCGCCCCCACTCCGCCTCTTCCCACCCACTCTCCAGAGTGCGCCCTGTCCCAGCTCTTCCCCCTTCCTCCCTGCACATTGCAAAACAGCTGATTGTGGCAGAGAGTAGGCGCTGGGAGGGAGGGGGAGGGGTTGATCGGCAGGGCCGCCGGTGGGCGGGAGGCACTGGATGCCGGTGGGTGCTAAGCACCCACTAATTTTTTCTGTGGGTGCTCCAGCCCTGCAGCACCTACACAGTTGACGCCTATGGGAGAAGAGTCTCCGCAGGCAGAGCTCTGATCCAGCAGAAGAAATGCTGACCTCTACGCCAGGACTGCGCGGGCCATAGGGGAGAAGGTCTACATCAGGGATATGCAGCAATGCCGCGTGAAAATAAAGGAGCTTTGGCAAGCGTACCAGAAGACAAGGGAGGCGAACAGTCGTTCTGGTTCTGCCCCACAGACATGCTGCTTTTATAGGGAGCTGCATGCGATTCTCGGCAGCGACCCCACCACTACCTCAAATCGCTCTGTGGCTACCTCCCAGGAGCCCCGGGGTGACCTCGAGCAACAACGAGGAGGACATTGTTGAGGAGGAGGAGGAGAAGGAGGAGGAGGCGAGGCAGGCAAGCGGAGAATCCATTCTTCCCAACATCCAAGAACTGTTTTTAACCCGGGAGCCCATCCCTTCACAGGACCAATTGCCGGAGCTGCGTGATGCAGGGGAAGGCACCTCTGGGGCATACACATTTCCAGTCAAACCGTCGGGGTTACGTGCGATTATTTTTAATGTTTAATTTGAACAAAAAGGTCGGTGTAGTGGGTATCGGTGGCCACTCCAGCTGTGCAGAGGGTGCTCTCTGAAAAAGACTCATTATGTGCAGGGGGATGGCCCTGGAATCCTCCATGGAGATCTCTAGGAAGCTTTCATGGAGGTACTCTGCAATCCTTTGCAGAAGGTTTACGGGAAGGGCTGCTTTGTTTCATCCACCATGTTAGGACACTTTCCCATGCCACTCCAGTATTAACTTGTCTGGCAGCATTGCAGCATAAGGACCAGGTTTGTACCCAGATGCTTGCAGCATCTACTCCCTTTCCACCTCCGTTACCCTCAGGAGAGTGATCTCGCACATGGCCACCTAGGGGAAACGGGGGAAGTTTTCAATGCTAGCCCTTAAGCTGCAAACAATTCAACAAGTAATTCACCCCTGTTTGGTGAAATCTGGGACACACAACCACATTTTCCTGAGTGTGCCATGGTTGTGGTTGGAAGGGATCTCCGTGTATTGCAGGGGTGGGAAACTATGGCCCACAGGCCGCATGTGGCCTGCCAGACCTTTTAATCTGACCCTGGAGCTCCCACTGGGGAGCGGGGTTGGGGGCTTGCCCTGGTCTGGCACACCAGCTGGGGAGCAGGGCCAGGGGCTTGCCCTACTCTGCGTGACTGCCAGGAAGCAGCCAGCATGTCCCCGCTCCAGCTCCTATGCGTAGGGGCAGCCAGAGGGCTCTGCACACTGCCCGCCCCACCCTGCCCCCGCAACTCCCATTGGCCAGGAACTGCAGCCAATGGGAGCTGAGGGGGAAGCGCCTGTGGATGGGGCAGTGCGCAGAGCTACCAGGCTGCACCTCCGCGTAGGAGCCTGGGGGAGAACATGCTGCTGCTTCTGGGAGCTGCTTGAGGTAAGCACCATCCAGAGCCTGCACCCCTGAGCCCCGCCCCCCCCCATGCCCGTTCCCTAGGCCTGATCCCCCTCCTGCCTTCTGAACCCCTCGATCCCAGCCTGGAGCACCATCCTGCACTCCAAACCCCTCATCCCCAACCTCACCCCAAGCCCGCAACCCCAGCCAGAGCCCTAACCCCCCCCACCGCAACCCCTATCCCAGCCCTGATCCCCCTCCTGCATCCTGAACTAGTCATTTCTGGCCCCACCCCAGAGACCACACCCCCAACTGGAGCCCTCACCCCCTCCCGCACTGCTACCCCCAATTTTGTGACCATTCATAGTCCACCATACAATTTCCACACCCAGATGTGGCCCTCAGGCCAAAACGTTTGCCCACCCCGGTGTATTGAAACTAGCATTTAAAAAGGGGGTGGCTGGCTTCCTGTTTGTCTCCCTTCTCCCCGATCCCAGTGCCGCTTTTGTAAAAATCAAACAATTTGGGGGGCTTTACATGGCCTTACTCACTGTGCAGAACAATGTGATGCCACGCAAGCAGCCCTGCTGGAAGACATAGAATGGAGCAATTTGCAGTTGCTGGCAACAGTCACGCATCACCTTCACACGGAGCTCTTCAATGTGCTTTTCTTATTGCCCTGGTGTCTGGC